CAGCGAATGCTGGCTGGGGAATTCTGGGAGTTGAAGTCCAGACATCTTCAAGTTGACAAGGTTGAGAAACACTGGGATAGATAATCCTTCCATTCCCCACTACCCTGCCAGAAGCTGAAGAAGCTTCTTGGATGAGAAGCGAAACATCTTCAAAAGGAAAAAAACAAGATAGTCTAGTTGCCTCCTGAAGAAAAAAAGCACCTTTGGGACATTAGATGGGTTGATAATTAATCAAATTAGATTGAAAGTAAATATTGCTAATTGCTTTGGGTTGGGGTTGTATATTTGACAATGCTGTTGGTTGGTCCTCCTGAAGACATTGACAACTGACTGACTGACTGATTGATTGTATGCTATCAAGGCAGTGTTGACTCTCAGCAACCATACAGACAACTGCTTAGGGCCCGTCTAATGAAGGGGAAGGAATTATAGGGCACCCATTCATAATGAGGATGCCCTATGAGGCAGGAGTTAAAGATGCTAGGCTACAGGTGGTTCTCACTTCATGACCATTTGTTTAGCATCTGTTCAAAGTTATGCCGGAACTGAAAAATGTGACTTAGGACAGGTCCTTGCAGTTATCACCATTTCAGCATCCCTACAGTCATGTGATCGTAATTCGGGTTCATAGCAACCATCATATATTTTTGACAGTTCCAGGGTCCCACAGTCACATGGTCAACATTTGCAACCCACCCAGAGAGCTTTTGACAAGCAATGGGGAAGCCAGCAGGGAAGGTTGCAAGTCTCTGTCATGTGAGTCTCACTTAATGACCGCGACAAAAACAGGCATAAAAATAAAATGTGGACACGTGATGTGTACTGCTTAAGAATAAATTTTCCAGTTCCTATTGTGGTTGTAAATCGAGGACTACCTGTATGATTATGGAGTCCCATAATCTCCCATTCAACCACAAAGCTCTGTGCTTGACCTGGAACCATCCAGTGTCTTTCAGTCCTGCCTCCCTTACAGGGATGTTGTGAGACTCCAATGAAGGGAGAACTTCCCAGTATTCTTCTGCTTTCAGCTGCCAGAGGAACACGGGGAAAGAAAAGAAATAATTAACACTAATCCTTAAAAAAATGTTTCTCCTTCAAGATGATGATAATCGAACTGCTAAGAGGGGAAATGACAGAACGAAAAGCATAAGGCAAGATGGTTAAAAAAGAGTGACATCAAGCAGAGCAAAATTCACATGCGTAGAGCGGTCTCTTTTCATGCTGGTTGTTGATTAACAGATTAACAGAGTTGGAAGGGACCTTGTAGGTCATCTAGTCCAACCTCTCACCCAGGCACGAGACCTTACGCCAGTCTCTTAGTGTAGATTGGCAGTCCAATCTCTTCTTGAAAGCTTTCAGGGATGAAGCTCCCACAACTTCTGAAGGCAACTTCTGTTCCATGGGTTGATTGAATTCTGGGAGTTATCTGTATTCTGAGCCGGATAACAGAGTTGGAAGGGACTTTGGAGGTCTTCTAGTCTAATCCCTTGCTTAAGCGGGAGACCCTATAACATTTCAGACAAAGGGTTGTCTGCTCTCTTCTTAAAAACTTCCATTGATGGAGCACCCACAACTTCTGAAGGCAACCTGTTCCCCTGATTAATTGTTCTCACTGTTAGGAAGTTTCTCCTTAGTTCTAGATTGCTTCTCTCCTTGATTAGCTTCCATCCATTGCTTCTTGTTCTGCCTTCTGGAAACTAGGTTGACTTCCTCTTCTTTGTGGCAGGCCCCCAGATATTGGAAAACAGCTATCATGCTACCCATAACATACCCAGATCCTGCAACTGTTTTTCAACTGTTCTTCAAACCCAGCCCGCTAATCATCTTTGTTGCTCTTCTCTGCCCTCCTTCCAGAGTCTCAACACCAAGCAATGGAAGAAAATCTTTGTAGTTCATAGTTGATCCTTGGTGCTCTCTGAGCTTGGTGGTTTTCTTTTTTTTTAAAGAAAAAAAAATTAGACAAACAAACACAAACAGACATAAAACATAAAACCATCTTCCAGTTACATACAGTGTGTCGGTTGGTTACAAAAACCTTTGGGCATTCTCTCCATTGTCCTCACTTACAATTTATATAAAATCTCATATTATCAATCTAGTACAGTGGTTCTCAACCTGTGGGTCGGGACCGCTTTGGGGGTCGAACGACCCTTTCATAGGGGTCGTCTAAGACCATTGGAAAACACATATTTTCAAAAAAAATACGGAATACATAAAATAATCTTATAGTTGGGGAGAACTGTATTAAAGGGTCACCGCATTAGGAAGGTGG